CGACGGCCCTTTAAGATTCTCTTTATTTTTGGGAGTAGGAAAAAGTCAGACAGAGGCATGTCTGGCGAATATGGAGGCTGGGGCATCATTACAGTATTGTTTTTGGCCAAAAATTTTGTTCAAAATTTAACAATTTTGATGCCACGCGTTTCGTACCCAAAACATTTGACTAAATTTCATGGGATGAGCCAATCGATATACCAACATCATCAGCGACTTCTCTGATGGTTTATAACCATTTCTTCCACTTTTTCCATGTTTTTATCGGTTGTTAATGTTCTTGTGCGTTCGTCATCTTCAACGTTTTCACGGCCATCTTGGAAACTCTTATACCACTTGTAAACTCTTGTTTTACTTATAGCAGACTCACTATAGGCCTTTGTTAACATTTCACAGAATTTATTTCATTTTTTAAGCAAAATTGGATACAAATTCTTTGATCCATTTCTTTTAACGAACGAAAATCGCCGAGCTCATAAAACACGTCTAACCTTAGCGGCTGCCACAGACAAAGTAAACAATGAAAACAGCTAAAGTTTTTATCATACTTCGGGGGCATGTATACCAACATAATAAAGAAAATTTTATGACAACCGGACCCTCCGAAGCCGCGAAATTTAACAATTTCCGTTATTTTCTGAACACACCTCGTATATAATTAAATTAATTAATAACACGATTAGTGTTAAACTGTCATAGTTTATATACAATGGGTTTTTAAGACCAAAAAGTCGTTAAAACATAATATAACAGGAGGAAGCGCAATATCATTTTACAATTGTAATTTGCTACAGCAAGAAATACCAAAAAGTTTTTTCATTCTCAATATACCTAAATTTGTTTAATTAACAACTTTGTTTAATTATAATTATAAGTATACTTTCTATGGATTTTAATTATTTTTTTATATACAGGGTGTTCCAAGCTTTTTAAATAATTCTCTATATGGGTGAATATATTGAGATGTTAAAATAATTATATTTTGTTTTTGGTTTTTCACTGTTAGTCTATAGAATGGTGTGAATATTTCGAATATATCCTGTATATAATTTAAAAAATAAGTAGTTGGTTATAGATATGGTTATCAGCAAAGACCCCATTAAAAAATGTGACCTTTTGACAGTAAGACGCCAGTCTGAAATTTTTTTATGTCAAAAAGTAGTTTTATGTCTAGTTAAACATACACTGAGAAAAAACAATGATTATCTTAATCAAATATATAGTAACTTTTACTAAACATTCTGATTAGTATAGGCACAGCCATATTTACTGTTATGTTAACCATGTTTATATTGTTACAGTTTTATTGTCACTTTAACTATATTTTTGTTGTTGCACAAAACAATAATTTATTTAGTTATAATAATCATATGCAAATACCTTATAACCCTTTATATGGTTAAATATACTATGCGTATGATATGTATAAACTTTCTGTATAGTAAAAACTACAACGACATATTGTTAATAATGTGTGACAACATTATATTGTTATTGTAACCAGATAATCTTATAATTTTAACCATCTAGTGTAGTACTTACAGTTTAGCAATACATGATGGTTGTAATAGCCTAATCAAATATCTAACTTTACTAAATTTTTATAACAAAATGATTAGAGTACATATAACAAAACTAATTTTACGTATATTGTTATTACAACCATAAGTTATAATTAAATGAACCATATTTTGCATAACAAATCTGTATTGTTATAACAAAATTAAATATTCTTTATAAAAGCGAAGCAAAATCCAATTTTAGTACACTCTAAGAAAATATATTGTAATCCCTATAGGGATTACAATATATTTTCTTAGAGTGTACTAAAATTGGATTTTGCTTCGCTTTTATAAAGAATATTTAATTTTACACTAATTTTTGTTTAAATTTATAACAGTACATTCCAACGAAAAACTTCTACCCCAAAAATAAAAACTATTGTAGATATTTTTTTTACTCAGCACGGAAACCAAACGTCAATATATACAATAAAACTAAAATAAATCTTAAGAAAGTTCAGGTGAGGCACCAACTTACCCTACATTTTTAACAAAGATATTCTATAGAATCTACTTATCCTTCAGAATTGAGCCTGCATCTTTTGTGCGAGTCGAGATAATACCGAACTTGTTAATAATTAAAAGAACAATCCATAGCTGATTCCAGCAAATCATTCATAGCGATATCGATTATTAAAAAACGTTCGCCCATACAATACAACACAATACGCTGACAAAACACCTTTTCAGATACGTTTCGGGTGCTAAAATTAGCCTCCTCGGTTCAAAACCCGACAAATCCAAGTTTTGACTTGTCAGTTACTTTTCTACAGCACACAAGCACCAATTAAAATGAAACGACACGAAAATCTTGAAGTTGTCGACTGCGTGTATCCAATCTAAAATTGTTTTGTTAAAGCGTTTGCAATTATTTTCTAAATTATTGGCCGCTTTAATTATGCGACGAAAATAATCTCAAAGGAGTTTCGAAGGGACTTAATTACTTTGGCTACGCTCAAAAAGTCTGGATGCAGGGGCAAGCAACAAAAAACTACACTAATAAAAATGGTATTCTTGTGGCTAAAGAATCCATTCATTTGAAAAATATTGATTCAGTCCAAAGAATCTGTATTTATTTTAAATCCGTTTTCCTTGGGATAAGATCATTGCTACATTTAGGTGTAATTCTCGATTCTTTTGACATTTAATTACTTTAAGGCAAAGTAAAGGCATTTTGGCGAAAGAAATCTTCAATTCGTATCTTTCAGTCAAAATTTAATGATATTGCTAGAAATTCCACGGTTTTGTGCTACACTGATAAACATGGATTATTTTAGGCAAAAGAACCCATACATTCAAAAATTATTCTTTGATTTTAAAGAAAGTTAACTTGTTGCAAATTCATTGGCGTTCGGCTAAAATAGCTGATGCATTTGAGGCAAACTCTCTATTCTTTTGGCTAAATCCTTCTTAATAACTTTGTTTCAAGAACAAAGTATTTGTCGGAAATCACTCGGTATTTTGTTATCGTTAGTGTTTTTTGTTATACGCTTTTCCAACATTTAATTTTGTAGGTAATGTTTTCAAATTTTCAAAATTTTAATCAATTAGGAATCTAATAAAGATAAATACCAACATAATAAACTAAAATCCACTAAAATATAATTATTTCATGCAAATATGATCATTCTGTAAATCGCTTTCTTAGAACGGGAAAATAAAAATGGTTACCTATACCTTCTCCCAAAGATTACAATTTTTTAAGAAAATAATGCGGTATTTGTTAATATGTTTCAAGACTTTAACACAAAAGCATCATAATATTGAATAAATCCCTGTGCATTTGAGCCAAAACCTACATGTCAGCAAGTCATGTCCTCCATAGATAAAACACACATATATGTAGGTTTTAACTCAAATGCACGGGGATTTATTCAATATTAGGATGGTTTTGTGTTAATTTTTGTCTTAAAACATATTGACAAATATTTACCGCATTATTTTCTAAAAAAAATAATCTTTGCGAGGAGAATATATCCATCTTATTTCTTGACAGATATCCAGAGGCGGATTTCTAAATAGGCTAGCTAGGCCATAGCCTACGGCTGCAAATTTTCGAACGCGGAAATTTCTTTGAGTGTAAGAATAATCATTTTTTTATATTTTGTATAAACAATGTCTTTTGTGTTTATGTATGTATAAACAATGTATTTTATGTTTTTAATAAATATTTGTTTTTTATTAACAATTATTGTAGTTTGACATTTTTTTTTACAAATTTTGTGAATTTCATTGAAATCAGAAAAACATTAATATGGACAAATAAACGTTGTTTCATTATCATTCTCGAATATGAAACGTATAATTTCCTTGGATTATCACTCAATCGGGATTATTTATTCATTTGTTCGCGTCCAGTCGACTTCTAATTCTCGTTACTTCCGACGCCAACTACGGTTAATTTAAATTTGAATTAAAATCGGATTCAAACCTGGAAAACTGGAAATGACGCGTTCAATATGTCAAATGGTCTCTGTTAGCTCTATCGCTCGATGAGTTTATTGAAAATTGCTTTTTTAATCACTAATAAAAAAATCTAATATTTTTTTAAAGATATTAGGCGCGAGCGAGCCTTTAATTAAATGAGTGTTTAGACAACTGCCCTTTTTACTGTTAATGAAATTCTCATTTACTATAATGAAGCAGCAATGTTGAGCTTTTATAAAAAAAATGTCCATCCAACAAAGTAATAGTTGTTATCATATTGTCATGCCAATAAGAAATACTTTATGTTTATATTAAATCTTTGTCGAACTAAAAATGTTTTTGTTAAATCTATGGTTGTGTGTGAATTGCGCTTACATAAAGTAATGCGCAGTTGTTATAGTAAAATTTGTTCATTTTACTATGGCATATTTGTCTTTTTTTAATTATTATCGTTGTAATTCAAATTAATTTTATTTCAGTTGAAAAATCTTTGTTAATAGCTTACGTTAAGAACAATAACAAAAATATTTTATTGCTATAAAAATACTTTTTTAATATATACTATTGTTTTGCAATGGTAACAAAATGTTTGTTGTTTCCCTTAAAAAGAGGGGGAAAGGGCCAGCGCTCTCCTTGGTGAACATAACTTTATAATTCACAGTCTGTGTTATAATCTTAATGATTTCACTTGTGCGAGTGAAGTGTGGTAAAATCTAGCATGATAAAAATATCAAAAAGATCACTAAAAAAATTAAAATTTCGACGTTTTCTAAAAGAAATGTTTAAGGTCTATTCTATGAACGAAGCAGACTTGTTTAAAAAGTGAGTTCATATTTTTTTTATTTTCTACATCATATAATATAAGTTATTTTAAACGAAAAGGGATTGGTAAAATTTACAAAATTTCTATGAATAATACCATTAGGGTTTCATTAATACTACAAAACGTTTTTGTAAACGGTATAGAAGTGTTTTAAGGGTGGTAGTAGAAAAATAATATTTTATACTTACGTCTATAACGAAGTAGGTACCCTCCTTTAACTTGCTTGTTTGTCACATCTACAAAAAAGAATATTATTTTAAAAGCTCGAAGTGAATATTCACTATCTACTATACATTTAATATTTGAACAATGAAAATTTGTAATTTAAATGCAGAGCGCTTTTTGATTGGTTCTCGAAACTTATCTCTCATAAATTACCAATCGATATGAATGAATATTAAAATTCATTATTCAAAGGTACTTTTCTGGGATTCCCCAAGTATTAAAATTTTAAGAGTTAATTTTTAATTTTGAAACGATTGTAGGATTTGACACTTTCATTTTTATACAGGGTGTACTAAAAACACTGCAACACTGCACAGAGTTTAATGGCGGCCATTTTTGTTGTTTACAATTCTTGTGCTGTTTAATAATTGTTTTAAACGTTGTGTTTCTTACAGAGGCACTTGTAAGCCTCAAATAAGGCCTTTAAGTGCTAAGGACAACCATTTTACTCCTCTTTTATAATAAATATACCTTATTCTATCAGGGCTGTCAAATGACAATTTGAAGGTTAATTTGTGGGTTATAATTTAACCTTAAAATTGACATTTGACAGTTTTATGTCAGCCCTGATGTGCAGTGTTGCAGTGATTTTTTGTATTTTTAGTACGAGATAGAACAGACCTTGTTGTGTGGATTGTGGTCCATTCAAAGTTTCTGGGGAATGGAAAAAGTATCGATTTGAAATTTAAAACATTGTTTAATTAATTATAATCTGTCATTGTTCAAAATTTAATGGCGTCAATTTTTTAGTTTGTTATAAACAATTAAGTTTGATTATTTCCCTCATTATAATATGAACCATTCAAAAGTCTTGAATTTTCGAATAAATCTCGTTTAAATAAGCGATTAAATCACTAGAACTTTTTAACAGCGATTAAATTTTAGCCTCCATATTGGATTTTTGTTTACGATTTTATGGTGTTATTTACAAGTTTTAACAAACATTTTTTAAAAAGCAATAAAAAATAAGTTATCTAGTTTACGAAATATCAATTATTACTTATTACATGCCTACCTTAAATTAATGGAATTTAAAAAAATATTTATAAATTTTGACACATACGTCAGATTTTATAAATTGTCAAATAGTTTCCTTTAATTCGAGAAATAATCTAGAAGTATATCACTCAACCTATAAATTTAATCTGTCAAACTATGCTCAGTAAGTTTTTTATTTGATTTTTCTTTTTGGAAAATAGTTTCATGCAAAATAATTAAAAATATTAAATTATTTTGCATTCAACATTTTCCAACAAAAACCAAACAAAAAACTACTGAGCCTAGTTTAACCGATTAAATTCATAGTTCTCGTGATATAATATATGATTATAACCAAAAATTAAAAAAAAACAAGATCAAAAGTCGGTGGTTGCAAGTAAAATGCATCACATCAGCTGTGACGAGAAAAAGGTAAACAACCTCTGCAAAGCGCAAGGCATATAAACTACCTGGCGACCTGAATACATATGTATACATATATATATCTAGATGAAATAAATATAATAACAAAAAAACAACAGTTTATAAAATCTGCAGAACCCACATTTTTCTCCTACCCTTAGTAAATAAAAAGTAAGAAATGCAGTTTTTCGTTATATTTTTAACGATGTTGTTTTTCGCTAAACTTACTGTTTCTAGTTTGATTGTGGAGCGGCTCTTGCGGAGGCGGGTGTTCGCGGGACATACACAAGGTAAACATGTTGGCACGTATTGCGTTTTACGTGTACGCTGTCAAGCTTATTTCGCGCGACGGGCTCTCGCGTTGACGGTCGCAGAACTTCTGCTGGCGGTTTTAGGCGTCACCGGACGAATGGGGCGGCGCGCCTGACTCAAGGAGCCGCCGCCGGCGTAGGTTGTCAACCGCCGCCGCACGATGCACCCGAATCAGAGTTTTACCGTCTGTAAGTCGAATTTTTGGGTTTTTATGCGGAAGTTCTGCATACTCTTTCGTAACACCTTTTGCTTTTTTGGTTTAAAATTGAATACATTTTTAATGTTATTTTTTATTTCATAAAAAATATTGTTTTAAACATCACGAAGGTTAGGATTTCGTATGTTTTTTTTCAAACATCCCTTTTGACACCTTAATATTTTTAAAAAATACAATTCTACATTCATAAAATATTTACTTACTGAGATATTACACTTCACGGTGGATAGGTTTCATCTGCATATAAATTCTAACTGACCTTCAGGAATCTTTTGAAATCCGTGTATGACATGTCCAAGTATGAGATGATTCAACAAAACTGTCACTGTCATTCTCCATAGCATATGGATGGACCATAGTAACCTTAGTTCTTCATACAGAAAAATATAGGAAATTGCAATGTTTTTTTTAAAAATCCATATTTTCCACAAAAATAAATATATCGAGGTGAACCAAAAACAAAACTGTTAATAATAGATGTGACTTGATAAATAAAACTTAATTTAAAACAATGGTTTTGCCACTCTACAGAGTGTCTTAAACTTATGGTAAAAAACATCTTTTTGTTTAAACCTGTATATTATAAACGTACGTCTATTTTTTAGTAATTTTTTAAAATGTGAGCGATTGTCCATTAATTTATCTACAATATTCTTTAATATTCGTTTAAATCCGACATCAAATAAAAAAGTTATTTGCGATTGAAATTCATCGAAAATTTGTGTGGATCGATTATTTTGCCTGTGAGTGTATTTTATATTTGATTCGATTGCTTTGGATGTGTTTAATTTACTTAGTGAACTGATATTTTTAGTGTGCTTTTACTACCTCAGATAATTGAAAACATATAGGTTTTAGACTTTTAAAACATTGTAAAAAATAATTAGTTGCGGTTAGAAATGTGGAACCTGAGCTGTAATATCTACTTAATTATGGAAGATCAAAAAACAATAAAAATAATTGCTATAAAAATAAAACTATAAATAATAAAAAAGTTCTTTCATATTGCTTTAGGTTTTTTAATCTGATTTTTACATTTAGATAAAAAGGGAATAGTTTTATAGGTCCTTAAGGAGTATAACAGCCAGTCTCCGGGAATATCATTCGTATACGAATAGAAAATATTAAATTTACCAGCTGAAACGTAATTTTTTCTATCTTTCCATTTCTACGACTATTTGAATTTTATGGTCTATAAAAAGGGTTCATCGTTCTCAAGAAGTTATAACTTGGAATTTTTTAACCTTATGTCTAATTTTGATTATAAAAATGATAAAGTACAATTTACCAAATAAAATTTAATAATAGTCGTCGTATTTCTTAGTAATAATGACACACTTACTAAAATTACCTTTATTTAAAATTGCACAATAAAGTTGAAATTTATAAATTTTAATTGCTCTTGAACAAACTTTAAAATTAACGTCAAAATAAATTGGGATTTCATTTTATTATACTTTGTTATATAATAACGATGTTCTGAATAACTAAAATTATTCTAAATATTCCAGAGTACCAACGTAAGCATCCTGAATCCATTCTCTGTACTGTCTATGCACGTGAGAAACAAAACTTCTAAACTTCCACTTAATTTTTTTGGTCGCTCTGTGAACGCGCCCTAATTTCTTCCTGGCGATCTTCCTGCATCTCTTGTACTTGGTGTAAACAAAAATTTCGAAGGCCAATACGATTCCCGATACAGCGATGCCGAAACAGAGCAGGTAAAACGAGCCTTGAAGCATTTTAAGACTGATCGGTTTTAACTTTTCGTTATCCTCTGTGATTTTCGCTATTCTGCGACTTTGCTTTTGGATACCCGGTACAGCGTTTCCCTCGGAAGCCGCGTTTTTGTTCTGCTTTCCCAGCTTTTCGTACTCGTTTTCCGTCATTTTTGTTATTATTCCCGCCTCGAAGATTGCCATCAATCTGGAAAAGGGTTTGTTAAGTACAAGTGCACTTTTACTACAGTTCTACACAATAAAAAGTCAAAAATTAAGGTATATAAGATGTGGTGGATGGCAGTTTGTAAATTCACTATACGATTCATTACAACTCAATTTGGGAAAATTACAAAACGTTTGTTGAAATTTACTAAGCATTTACTAAAAATTTGTTCATTAACATTACTATAAAGGTATTGTAATTTTGCTAAAAAAAATACTAAATACCTATGCTTAGTAATTTTAAAATGGTGTATTGTTTAAGAAAATTACAAAATATATTTTACAATTTGACTGAATTAATTCAAATGGCAAATTTTGGTTAGTAATTTTGCACCAAGGTAATTTGGTACCAGAACTCCCTCTTTCTATCTACTTTCAATAATGAATGAATTTCCACAAATATTAAAAAACAAAATTAATCTAATTTACTTACATTTTGTTAATTTTAACAGTGTACTATGCTCCACACCTCAAAGTCCCACCACGTGACCACGGAACGCAATCTTTTGAAAATTTGGCATTTAAGGCTTTTCAGGTTATGTATCTGTCAAAGTATAGTCAATGAAAGAAATAATATTTATAGTGTTACCGCTTATGTTTAAGCGTTAAAAGTTAATAAATCTTTATAGTATCACAATAACAATGGTTGGTTTAAGAATTTAGGATTATAAATACTGCATTTAATGAAATTCCAAAGTGTAAGGTGCAATATAAGTGATATTTTTGTGCATTGGGTCTACATTTCTCCATAAAATAGTTCAAACCACAGCATTTATTAAAAAAATCTTACTTCTCTATTATGAAATAAGAATATCTGTATCAAAGGTAAGTTAATGTATTAGAACAAAAAATATCAACTAATTTTGTATTTTAAGGTTAGAAAAATCTATTTTGACCAAAATAAAGAAGTGGATTATTTGAAAGAGTGTGTTAATATGGTCATAAATAAATATAGGTATACTAAATAATTGTTGAATATAGTTCAAATTAAATTGAAGCTTTTATACTTCTAACGACAAAACTTGTGCATACCTCTCGGCATACTTACTTTAAGTTAGATTATAAGAAAACAAACAATTTTTAGAGAAACTTGTAATTTGAAAATATTTAATAATCCCATGACATGTGGTTTATTAAAATTTTTAAAGTTATAATGATTTTTTGATGTAGATCAAATTCAGTCGAAGCTTTTTAACTATTTGTATTGACAAAACTTTATGTAGGTACACTTTAGCTGGATAAGAAAAACTACCACATTTTTAAATACCATATTATACAGTCTTTTAAATAATCCAAAATACTTATTTATTTTGGACAAAATAAATTTTTCTAACTTTAAAATTACATGATATTTTTGTTATAACCTTTAATACAGATATTCTTATTCCATAATAGATAAGCTAGATTTTTTTAAATAAATGCTGTTTAGTTAAAATTATTTTATGGAGAAAACCAGATATTTGGACCAAATGCACGAAAATATTACTTATTTGGAACAATAAACTTTAGAATTTCATTAAATGCAGTATTTATATTCTTAAATTCTTAAACCATCCATTGTTATTGTAATGTTATAAAGATTTATACATTTTTAACGCCTAAACATAATATTATTTCTTTCGTTGACTATACTTTGACAGATACATAACCTGAAAAGCCTTAAATGCCAAATTTTCAAAAGACTGCGTTCCGTACGAGGTCACGTGGTGGGAATTTGAGGTGTGGAGCATAGTACATGATTAAAATGATATGTACACTCAGAAAATTTTTTAATAAATATAACAAAAAAAGTAGTTTGTCTTAATAAAGTAAAGATCCCTATTCGTCCAACAATTGCTTTTGTTACGGCAAAAAGATCATTTTTATAAAAATTATTTATCTACAAACGCTGCTTTCAGTAATAGCATTTTTATTAATTATAAAGTAAATTTACGTTATGTTTATAAAAATAACACTCTTTCAGATGCAGAAACGCATTGATAAATACAGTTTTTATTATTTGTCCAAAAAACAGTTTTATATCGTTTACAAAAACGTTTTGTAGTATTAATGAAACCCTAAAGTTATTATTAATAGAAATATTGTAAATTTTACAAATCCCTTTTCGTTTAAAATAAAACTTTTTTTATTATATTAATAAAATTTATGTAAATTTAACAACAAATTAATTGTTAATTCAATAAACTATTTTCATTGTAACAATGGTCAAATTTTCAACCTACTGTTGGGTGTTGGGTAGTTTTTTTTAAATAATTGCAAGTCATTAAAACAAATTATTTATTATAACAAAAAAATTAACTCATATTATATGAAGTACAAAATAAAAAAAATACGAACTCACTTTTTAAACAACAAGTCTGCTTCGTTTATAGAATAGATCTTAAATATTTCTGTTACAAAACGACGGAATTTTAATTTTCTTAGTGATCTTTTTGATATTTTTATCATGCTAGATTTTACCACACTTCACTCGCACAAGTAAAATCAATAAGATTATAACACAGACTGGATTATAAGTTATGTTCACCAAGGAGAGCGCTGGCCCTTTCCCCCTCTTTTTAAGGGAAATAACAAAAATTTTGTTACCATTGCAAAACAATAGTATATATTAAAAAAGTATTTTTATAACAATAAAATATTTTTGTTATTTTACTTAACATAAGCTATTAACAAAGATTTTCTAACTGAAATAAAATTAATTTGAATTACAACGATAGTAATTTAAAAAAGACAAATATGCCATAGTAAAATGAACAAATTTTACTATAGCAACTACACATTACTTTATGTAAGCACAATTCACACACAACTATAAATTTAACAAAATCATTTTAAGTTCGACAAAGATTTAATATAAACATAAAACATTTCTTATTGCCATGACAATATGATAACAACTATTACTTCGTTGGATGAACATTTTTTTTGTAGAAGCTTAACATTGCTGCTTCATATAGTAAATAAGAATTTTATTAACAGTAAAAAAAGTTTATTCTGTAAATAAGAATAATCTTATTACTTTGACAAATCGTAGGTTTTTGTCCCAATAAAACACTGAAAATTTAATAAAAAAGGTACCTTAGGTGGTACATTTTTTTATAGCCATTACAATTTTAAATTTAAGTTAAATAATATTATTTTATTAATCGCTTACAAAATTAGTTTTATTATCAGTGCATGTACATTTTTCTGAGTGTAGTAAAAATGCAAACAAGTTGTATAAAATAAATAATGATTTGTATATTTCCAAACACTTATTGTAATTCAAATGGCAAATTTTGGTTAGTAATTTTTCATCAAGGTCATTTGGTACCAGAACTCCCCCTTTCTATCTACTTTCAATAATGAATGAATTTCCACAAATTAAAAAACAAAATTAATCTAATTTACTTACATTTTGTTAACTTCCTCAATGTAGGGACATCCAAGCTGAAAAGCTATGGCTGAATATGCAGTGTTCAATTTTTCGCTCAAATGAAAATTGCTCGGTCCTGAAATACAAAAAGTTTCGTTGACGTAAAGTTTTGTTTTTCCTTGATAATGTTTACCCAAGTTTTGTATGTCGAAAAACAGCGTTTCTCTGCCTGCTATAATAGCGTTTTTAGTCGACTCCCTTACCAATAGCATTCCTTCCTCTACTGATTGCACAAAGTATTTTTGTTGACGCGTGTTCATCAGTTTCCAGAGGCGGCCGTAAATTCCAGTACCGTTCTAGAAATGGGGTAGTTAAATTTTTTCTGACCTATACTTTTTATGGTTTTATTCAAGGCGTTTTGGAACATTAAACATTTCTGTGAAATCAGAATTTCAATTGAGTTTACCGTTTTCGAGATATTTACAAAAAATATAAATTTTTATGACGTCACAAACCTCGCCATGTGATCAACATTCTAAGATTTTTATTGGTTGAAAATTACCCTGTTGTCAAGTTGTCTTGTTAATGATTTCATTCGGTTATGTCAGAAAATACCCGAAGAGGTTATGTACAAATACTGTCACTGTCAGTTGAGTGAAAGATGGTCACCAAATTCATTAAGTACCTATCTTCCTTATTACGAGGTATCATATTACTGTTTGATATTTTAGAGTCCAAGATATATCTAAAAAAATATAAAGAACTAGGCATTATACTAATGAAATGCATTTACGACAAAATATGATTATAATTATAGGTACTTACTTTATTTTTTTAAAAGCTCCAATGTTCAATGTAACCAACCATTCCACAAGATTCCTCTGCTTTAAAGTCCGTTATTAATAAATCACTTATCTAATATCAATTACAAATAACATAACAATAACATTGATTTTCAATAATAAATTTAAAAAAAACATAACCCGAAAAAAAGAAACGTCAAAAAATCAATTCTTCTTCTTCTCAACTAAAATTATAGATCAAGTGGTTTTAAAACTAAAATATTATAACGTGGCGCCATCTATCGTAAGAATCTTAAACTAAACACACTGGCAACCATAGAAAAAGCTGGCAACGTTGTCAATAGCCTAGTGACGTAATTAGGAGATTTTTTTTGTAAATATCTCGAAAACGGTAAACTCAATTGAAATTCCGATTTCACAGAAATGTTTAAAATTACAAAACGCCTTGAATAAAACCATAAAAAGTATAGGTCAGAAAAAATTTAACTACCCCATTGTATTTGTTGCATTCTTTGAACACATCGCTAAAACTTACCTCCAATAAACTGTAAGAAGAACTGTGTAGCTCCACATACAACTGGTAGTCATTGTCACGCATTGCCACCTCCAGTTGGGGCAAATTATTTATGGCTTTTTCTGAAACATGTACAATAATAGGCGTTTTACAGAAAGTAGAAGAAAAACTTGAGCATGTTGTTTTTTACCTCTTCCTGGTCTAGCTAGCAACGAAGTCAAGTTAGCTGAATACATATCAATCAAAACGTAGGTTGCACATATTGACAGCAAAATTATTAGGAATCTTGCCTTGTGGCTTGAACTGGGTTCCTTTCCACCTAAAAATTTCGAGGAAAAAAATACTCAAATAGTTTAGCACTACTACCACTACAATAAAAAACATACTGTTTTGCTTTAGAAGTATAGTGATGGTATACCAAGTACACTCAAAAAAGAGTTTAGCCTGCGAAGTAACTCTATACCTAGGCTGCCATGTATTGGGTAGTGCTATTATAGCATACAATACTGGGCCTACTATGATGAAAGTGACACCAATTGCAGGCCAAACCTGAAACGAAAAGCATCAAATGTGAAATAAAGAGCATCAACAATTGTTTTCAACCTGCCAATGAAAAGGTCGCAGCAAAGCCAAGGCTTCGTTCAATTTTCCAGGAGCGTGGGTGACAAATGCCCCGCTATCAGCAAGAGTTATAAATGAAAATTCCACGAAATTCAATCGCTCGAAGGTTAAGGCTACGTCGCCAAGAAAAAAATCGGCTTCCTAAAAATATAATATAATAGGTTGCGAGTAATTGAGTAATTATACCCTTTTCCAAATGAGGCCCAAAACTCCATTGAGTTCTCCGTTTTCGGAAGTTCCTTGGGATCTTTCCGGTGGATCAAAATACTCAAACCTAAAAAAGGTTAACGTAAAGTGTACAACTTTTTTATTTTTGTTATTCGTTTAACCCCTGGAAAATGAAAAAAGCCCTACCTAAAATTCAGCTTATTCGATAATAAAGTTAATATTCTATGGTCTCTACCGCTTACTTCCTCTATACTACCATTATTGTACTTAACAAAATGCCATGGTGGCTTCTAAAAATATATGGTATAATAAAAAAATCATGATAATTATCGTTTGGGCATTTGTTTGGCAGCCACTGCTTTATAGTCGGCACTCTATTTAGTTAAACGAATTTAGTGGCTGCTACACTGTTTAAAATATCTGTGGTGTGAAGAGTAATCTTAAAATGGTGACAAAATCCAACACCAAGTGGTGTTAATATAAACACCATGAATTATGGTTGAAAATGTTTTATTCAGCAAACACCAAAACGGTATTTATCTAAAAATATTTGAGAAGTGCACCTACACAGAAAAAAGGAATAGTTCATTTAACTATATTAATTTAGTCGACCCATAAGTATTTATTTAAATCGACTGTGGGAAGGTAATATAAACAAAGATTAGTTTGACGGTACTAAACCAGATAGTTATTTTTTTTTTAATTGTTTAAATTAACCCAGAAAACTTTAGTGAAACCAACCCGCTGTATGGTTCAGTTTACTAAATATGTTGTTTGTAAAATAAAAGTTACTTCAACGTAAAGCACTCTGTTAAAACGATTAAAACAATTTGCCGTGCATTCCTTGTTGCATAGTGTGTACCGATCACGGCAAAGGCGGTGTGGATCACGTGATGTTCTTAAATCTCGCCTCTGTTGACTTACATGAAGAGTATATAAGCTCAGGTAGTCCTTTGCTTTGGTGTGACACTACAAGTTGTTCGATACTAAAGAGACCTTAAATAGGTGGAAACAGCTGTCAATACTTGAAGTATTTTAAGTTGGTGGAACGCACTAAAAACATTATCTCTAGCGAGTTGAAGGTTCAATTTTCTGGAATAATACCACTGGTAATATACTTGTAATGCGTCAAGGAACTTCCTGTTTCCTTTTTTTCTGTGTAGTATGATTTAATTTGACTAAAAACACATTATTTTTAACACTGAAAAAGAGTTAAATTTACACCATTTTAGTATTTGAATTTATACTGGACCAACGAACCATATTTAACACCATTTTGGTTTGTATCGATATAGACCATGTATGGTGTTAATTTGGTGTTAAAATGGTCATGAAATTTTGAACAGTGTATAGAAGGATTCCTCATATTGGGATTCCTCATCCAAAAATTTATGATGGCGCATGTTCTCACATTTAATACGGGTATGATGAACACTTTCCCTTGAAAGTCCTTGTAAACAGAAATCGATTTGGGAACTGTAGGGTGATAAAATAAACCTGTACCCTCATACCACCAATTGATCAAATCCAGATGATGTTCTTTGTAGGAAGTGGCCTGATTGAAATAGAGTCTGAAACTTTAACAAAAAGTTACATTAAAAAATATATTATACAGTGGCTTTCTTAGTACATACGTATTATTTCTTGGGTTAGTTATGACGAAAATCTTCATTGAATAATGTATATTCCGTATAAAATATCTATCAAAAGATCTTCTACCATAATAAAACATAAAGGTTGTGCCTCTTCTTATAAGATTTTTATTGTATATCTAAAACAATTTGGGTAAAATTTTGTATGAAACATAATATTATTCTGTACCTCTAATAGCAGATGCTCGTATAATTTTGGGTTCGTGAAAAATACAGTTAAAGAATTAAAGTGCTGTTCAATTTGGTATGAAATATATTCAAAATACTAAAAAATAAATATTAAACAAAATATAAAGCAATGTACTATGCTCCACACCTCAAAGTCCCACCACGTGACCAAGTACGGAACGCAGTCTTTTGAAAATTTGGCATTTAAGTCTTTTCAGGTTATGTATCTGTTAAAGTATAGTCAATGAAAGAAATAATATTTATAGTGTTACCGCTTATGTTTAAGCGTTAAAAGTTAATAAATCTTTATAGTATCACAATAACACAAAAATATTACTTATTTGGCACCATACACATTAGAATTTCATTAAATGCAGTATTTATATTCTTAAATTCTTAAACCATCCATTGTTATTGTAATGTTATAAAGATTTTTACATTTTTAACGCCTAAACATAATATTATTTCTTTCGTTGACTATACTTACTATACTGACAGATACATAACCTGAAAAGCCTTAAATGCAAAATTTTCAAAAGACTGCGTTCCGTACGTGGTCACGTGGTGGGACTTTGAGGTGTGGAGCATAGTACAATATTTTGTCTCCACAAGTTTAGAGGTTACAAAAATGATCTAATGTTTAAGGGTACCTTATCCTGGTTATCAATTGAAGTCAAATTAAAAATCTGAACAAAAATATCAAATCTTGAAAACTTTCCAGTTAAAATAGTTAAAAAATGCGAATCTACATTGTTATCAAAGCAAATGGTTATTTCTTTTGATGGAAAACTATTAACCATATCAAAAACAGCACTGGGCAAATCACCCCCAAATTTTTGATGAAGATCATCTAAGAAAATATTATAATGTAGTATAAATTGCTATACTTTTTCATTTACCTACTTACATTTTCCAATATTATTTACAATTTTATGTTCGAAACCTTCACAACTTACAATTAATAATATAGGTAGAAGAAGCTTCATAGTCATAGATTTATAAATAAAAACTGATAGACAAGTTTTGCCCTTATAAATATAATACCATATCATGCAACCTATCAATGGAGTTTGAGAAATGTTAACCTTTTCAAAAAATATTACCACCACACACAATACAAAATAAACTATTGGATAACCATTTTAATGAACAACATTAAATACAAACTAGTCATTGGGGAAAGTATACGTAGTCAAGCTTAAATTTTCTATTTCCCTCAGGTAATTTTTGAGTTGTTCTATCTCCATCTGATTTATATTTTGGGCTTCCCGAACTCTTTCTTGGATATTTTTGTACAAATCTTTGGTCCTTATAAGTTCTTCCATTTGTGCTTTCTGCAAAGCTCTAATTTTTGCTTCTTTATCAGATTTATTACCATGAATTTTGCAGTGGTTCTCCATTTTTAAATTTTTATGATTTTTTGTGCATTTTTACTTTGTTTGACAACTTGTCAAATGTCCAATTAAAAATGACCGAAAGCAAGAAGACTTTGTCCTTGAAAGGACCAATTTTAGTGCCTAAAGCCGTAGCACAAGAGTACGGCAAAAGTAGGAGGTACTTTAGTAACGAACAAGGTAAATATTTGTATATATATGTATATATATGTTATATATCTTATTGCAATGATATATTTATAGAGGAGGAGCTCTATAAATCCCACTACAAAGATGTCAAAGTGGACGTCCCAAATCTTCAAGAAGTTTCTACACCCCAAAAAAGTTTAGAACATAAAGAAATATATGTTGCATCAGTTAAATCGGTTACATATGATCATTACCATCCAGAAGTTTTTAGCGGCTTAAATATTCACCCTCCTGTTAAACCAACCAGAAAACCTGAAGAAGATAATAATGATATTATAGACTCTCCAGTAAGATTGCCAAAAAAATCGGATGATAACGATAATATAGACTCTTCAATATTACTACCCAAACAATCTAAAGAAGATAATAATAATGTGGATTCTCCAATAGAACCATCCAGAAAATCTAAAGAAGATAATGATAATATAGATTCTATAGAACCTTTTAGAAAATTTGAAGATAATAGTAAGTAATAACCCTGATAGCAAAATTTGATTCTAAGAATCTTCTAAGAAGATATGACCCGGAATAAAGGAATATTCTTAGAACCTTCCCTTATTGCTAAGAATGTTCTTAGGGACTTTTAAAACATTCAATAGATACCCTTTTAATGATGCAATTAGATTCTTAGAAGCTTCTTAAAACGTTCCTAAAAAGCATTCTAAGAACATTTTAAGAATACGTTTTTGTAATGTTCTTAGAAGGTTTCTTATGGAAGCTTTTGAGAATATTTCTCGTTCTAATATGTTGGATTCTACATTCGTAAAATTCTTCAGGAGGCGACAAATACGTCTCACTGTCATAATATGACACCATATGACCATTAAAAAATTTTGCGACATATTAATATATATTTATTTAAAAATATTAAATAAACAATTTGACCTCTAAACCATAAGTTGTATGACATTTTTTCATAAAAAGTAAAATTGGAAAATTTTGTGGAATAAGTCAGATTAGATTGAAGTTGAAGATAGTTAGGATTATTATACATACAAATGTTAATTCAGAAATAATAAATCGGTATACAAAATAATTAATATTTATTTTTAACTTAAGATAAATTATAAAAAAGCAAAATATTTCCTTATAAAATAACTCTTCATAAAAGAAAAAACCAAATAGTTCTTCATAAAAAAAACATTTTTCATTGTATTTAAGTTGGATGGAAGATTTTATGTAAAAGCCGGATAATTTAGATACCTATAGTAAAAGTATTTTTGTTATCGAATATTGTTTTAATTTGACAAATAACTATAAAAAAATATTTTGGGTTGTGTTTTTTACTTAGTATTTAATACTAAGTATAGGTACCTATATACGTAGATTATGGTATATTTTACTATTATATAGGTACCCAACTGAACTGAATATGCTTAACAGAATGTTCCAGGAATATTCCTAAATGAACTTTCTATAGCAATTACTTTCTCAGCATTCTATGCATATGTTTAGAGTGGATTAATTTTTACCACTAAACTTTGCACCTTCTAAGAACCTGCCTATAGACCAGTGAGAATATTCTTAGGATTATGCTATATTTCTTTTAAGCATGTTCTTTAGAAGAAATATAGCATGATCCTAAGAATATTCTCACTGGAAGGTTTTAAAAACATTCTTAGAATAAACTGTGCTATCAGGGAAGTAGTAAAGTAGTAAACTTTATAAGATAATTTTTAGTTGGAAGGACAAGCTTTTTGTTAAAGGTTGACAATTTATCGAGCATAAAAGAAAAACAGATAAAACCTCATAAAATTAGGAATATAAGTAGAACTGCTTCCAGTAAGTAAAACAAGATATATTCGTACACCTGCTTACGTTTGTGTTATTTTTTCAAGTTCGAAACCAAGGAGACTCTATAATGAACGCTATAGACGAATCCGAACTTTTTCCGGAACTGGATATAATACCTCAAGTCGAGGTAACTGAAAGTCAGCAACGAATAGTAAACGACAACTTAAAAATGATGGACGAATACAGGAATTACTTGTCTTACGGTAGCACGGCGAGCCGAATTTTACCATCAAGAGGTCTAATGCCCCAGGGAGCCCTTGAAAAGTCCAGCAGCGAAAGTTCCATGACGTCCTTCAACTCTAGAGACAGTCAAACTGAGGTGCAAAGTGTTGAAAGAAAAAAATGCCTTATTTTGTGAAGTTAATAAAAACTCATTGATAACTTTTAACAATTGTTTTATTTTGCAGATTTTGTAGAATTTCTGTTTGACAATGTAGAATTTCTGTTTGACCATGTAGACCATGTAGAAGCTTTTCTCTCCCCTTTCTCCCCTTTCTTCCTTTTCTTCTCCCTGTAGCAACAGGTTATAGAAACCGATTGTTGCTCAATTGGTTCTGGCTCAGGTTCTGGCTCTGGTTCTGGTATTGCTTCTGGCTCTGGTTTTGCTTCTGGCTCTGTAGGAGCCTCATCCACTTTAATTGTTGGTTCTTCCTATAAAACAAAATATTTTTGGATTTTTACAACTGTCAAACATTTTCCCCACTCTTATCACAATATAGTATACCTTGCTAGCTCTCAAATTATCATCTGAAAGAAGACCATTGAAAAACGAGGAAAGGCTACCCTTAACCTCCTCTTCAGTCCTACCGCCAAAAAAAATATTAAAATAAATTGTATTCTGATGACTCAAAATATTACTTTGGTTCCTCTGTTATCGTGTCTTCTGGCTTTGGTTGTTCTGTTGTCGGCTCTTCTTCCACTTTCTCGTGTTTTTCCTTCGCAATCTCTTCATCGGAAGAAAACGGTTCGGATACAGACTCGCTGGAATCATTCGACTCTTTCGGTTCTATCATCATGCTTTTTATCTTTCTGGCATCAGGTTCCGGCATCTCGTTAAAGCTACTACAGGCGTCTTTCATCAGGTAATGGTATTTTCGATTTTGGTCTTCCTCTGGTTCGATGTCGTACCCGCTGGTTATAAGATAGTTCTCTTTATCAAGGAAATACTGCAAATAATACAATATGTCAACATGTGTGCAGTACTACACTCACGTGCAAAATAATTGATCCACCATGTAAAATATATATATATATATATATATATATATATATATACACTCTGGCAAAATAATCGATCCACACAAATTTTCGATGAATTTCAATCGCAAATAACTTTTTTATTTGATGTCGGATTTAAACGAATATTAAAGAATGTTGTAGATAAATTAATGGACAATCGCTCACATTTTAAAAAAATACTAAAAAATTGACGTACGTTTATAATATACAGGTATAAACAAAAATATGTTTTTTACCATAAGTTTAAGACACTCTGTAGAGTGGCAAAACCGTATATTGTTCTAAATTAAGTTTTATTTATCAAGTCACATCTATTCTTAACAGTTTTGTTTTTGGTTCACCTCGATATATTTATTTTTGTGTAAAATATGGATTTTTTTTTAAAAACATTGCAATTTCCAATATTTTTCCTGGATGAAGAACTAAGGTTGCTATGGTCCATCCATAGCCTATGGAGAATGACAGTGACAGTTTTGTTGAATCATCCCATACTTGGACATGTCATATACAGCTTTCAAAAGCTATCAAATTGTTTTTTGTAAATTAATGTGTCTTCTTAGTTTTAAAAATGTCTCAGACTGATGTTGCCCTTTGTACTTTACTTCTTATGACGTTTAAAACACTTGCCACGTAATACTGTGACCGTCCATCCTGGATTAAATTAATAGCTCTGGCAACATCAGTCGGAGACATATCCATTTTTTAAAGTAAGAAGACACCTCAAAATTTAAACATTAATTTGCAAAAAACAATTTGATAGCTTTTGAAAGCCGTGTATGACATGTCCAAGTATGGGATGATTCAACAAAACTGTCACTGTCATTCTCCATAGCCTTTGGAGGGACCATAGCAACCTTAGTTCTTCATACAGAAAAATATTGGAAATTGCAATGTTTTAAAAAAAAATCCATATTTTCCACAAAAATAAATATATCGAGGTGAACCAAAAACAAAACTGTTAAGAATAGATGTTACTTGATAAATAAAACTTAATTTAGAACAATATACGGTTTTGCCACTCTACAGAGTGTCTTAAACTTATGGTAAAAAACATCTTTTTGTTTAAACCTGTATATTATAAACGTACGTCTATTTGTTAGTATTTTTTTAAAATGTGAGCGATTGTCCATTAATTTATCTACAATATTCTTTAATATTCGTTTAAATCCGACATCATATAAAAAAGTTATTTGCGATTGAAATTCATCGAAAATTTGTGTGGATCGATTATTTTGCACGTGAGTGTATATAGAAGGTCAAAATTAAAAAACAATGTTCAGTTACACGATTTTTTTCTTCGTATCGTATCTTGTCCCTTTTAATCTCATCCATGTCTATCAGTTCCTTCGGTATGCATATAGATGAAGAAACTAGGACATAGTCTTCATCTTTAATATTTTTTATGTGAACTTTGGGTATTTTATCACCCATTTTGGTACAATCTATACCTCTTCTTTGGTATGGGCATAATGCTTCTCGTGTTGGTGTAATAGTTGCTAAAAATATTTAAAACTTAACATCGATTTTTTTCTTCAAAACATGTTACTAACGATATTTTTTTTGGCATTGAGTTGTGGGTGGACATATTTTGTATTTTTCTAATAAGTTTATTTTGGGACCCAAGGAAACTAAAAAATATATTTGTATTAAATTTGTGAGAAGATATTTTACAGACAACCTTACGTTTATATTTATCACTCAATAACTGCATTGGAGCCTTTTCAATTTCTGTGTTTTGTGCTAAAATTAAATAAAATACTGAAAACTCAAGTATATCTTTAAAATATAAAACCTGTAGAGGTAAAGCCAGGTATATTTTTTGAATACTTTTCCAGATTTTCCTTTGGATCTGCGAAATCTCTTGTGGGTTTATTTTCTGTATTTATATCATTAGTTTTGCAGATGACCATTTCTACAAAAAAAATATATGGATGGTTTTTGAAAATGTGTTCTCAACTAAAAAAAAATACCTTTAGGTATTTCCTTAGGTTTGTTTTCTTCACTGCTGTAATGATGAGCAAGTATTTCCATTTCACTTTCTATGTTTTCGTCTTGGTCTTTGGAATTATTATCTAAAAAGCAAAGCCGAAGTTTTTAACTAAATTTTTATTTTATTTGATGTACTCCTACCAGGTTCAACACAAGAACAATGGCCCTCTTTAAAATCTTCACTAGGTTTTTCTGAGACTTCTTTTGAACCTAATACAAAATAAAAATAAGCTCTCAAAAGGTATTCAATGTATTATTATTTTTACTTATGCACTGACCAGCAAAAGCAAGTACCCTCCCTTTTTTTTTTTGATGATTTGAATAAATTATGAAATTGTGATTTATAGTTTTTAATATATATGTACTTTTGCCTGTGACTGTATAGGTTCCAATTTCTGAAGTATCCTTCTTGCTGTCAGAGCATTCTTTTTCAGACGATTTAGGTGAACAACCAAAATCTTCTTTTCCTTCCTTTTCTAATATTTGCATGGAGGTCCCAGTGGTGTTGTCAAAATTAAGAGAATCGGTTTGTACAGACACCGTCTTAACTTTGATTTCCGCCTCTATAACTATAACAAGAAAAACAAAGTAATAATATTTTAGGTAACATAGAACAAAACAAAAACATAAAAATTATAGATTTTGTTACAATTACTTTTTGATCACTCATTTGTACCTTCTTCTGCATCTTTTGGATTTTTCTTGTTGTTCTTTATGTTTTCTTTATTACGTTTTGAACACCCTACTCGAACAATTTTAAACAACTTTTTTTTCAAAGTTAAACATTTTACCTGACATGAGATTAAAATCGCAGATATCAGGCCCACATTGCATTGAGACTTTTTTTACAATGTTGCAATTCCTGGATTTGCAAGCTTCAGATGGTTCTGTTAAATAATTTCTCTGTAAATACTGTTTGATATACCCTATAATATACCTGAAACAGCTTCTGTGCCTAGAATTTCCAAAACCTCAATTTTTTGGGCAGTCAAAACTTTCAATTTTGGTTTTTCTTTGCATACATTATTTTCGTCTTAAAAAGTTTTTTTATATTAATAATTTAATCCTCAAAGTATTTTTATGTACCTTCAATATTTGTTTCAGGTCCACACGCTATGGTACTGGTTTTTTTCTTAACCAACTGATCATTGATATTTTCCTTATCATTTTCAAATGAAGGTTCTATTGAGATTTCTAAAATAACAAGTATTTTCTTTTTTGGTGTAAACAGAGTATAACGTATTCGGGTTTAAAAGTAGGAAAGGGTCATTCAATGACGCATTAAATCTGATGAATTTTAGAAGAAAGGCCTAATTTTTAAGTTAATTAGTCTGTACTCAAGTGAACTGGTTGAATGACCAATGTGCCTAACTATTGGAAATACGAATCCCATACTTTTTGACTTATAAAATCGTTATCCTACATGCTAAACTGTACTAATTTTCAAAATACATAAAAATTTGAACAATTGTAACACCCGAAACGATGGAATGACCCGGGACTTTGATGATGGAAAAATAAAAAAGTTACCTTCTTGATTTTTCTTGCTCAGTTTACACAAAACAAAGTGTTTAACGTTTTTACTATTTCTACTGGTGTTTGATGAAACGGAGTTGTGAGATGTTTTTTTTCCATCACTTTTTTTCCCCAAATCGCATTCGCATCCCTTTTCGTTGCCTATGTTTCTTGAGTTTTGATCTTTGTGAGTTTTTACTACCTTGGAGGGTTCTAAAATGTTTTATATTTTTTACTATATTTTTTAGATGTGGTAGATTTTTACCAGGAGTATTTTCATCCTTATCTATAATTTTTCCTAAATTATCAACCGTTCTTTTTCTTTTTACACTATTGCTTACTTTACCTTCAATTTTATTTACGCATGAGTTCGTATCTGAAAATAATTATGTACTACAAAATCCATCTTCAATAGCTTAATATTAAAGCAATGCCCACCGCATTTTCTACGTTTCTTTCTATCGTTTTGATCATTTTGTGTTTTATCTTGCATTACTTATTTATTTTTGATACATGTTAAATGTTATTTTTTGATGTGTTGAAGTTTGATTGATTTGACGTTTTAACAATATATGACAGTACTTAGATAATACAGGTGGTCATATTTCATTGAGC